CACCAAAATGCATCACTGCATTTTGATTGATTTATGTTTTTAAATAAGTGAAACCTTGCCCTCGCTTTTACTCAAGACTCTTCGAATTCCCCAATTTCTGCTCCCCCCCTTCCTTGACGTGACGTCGATCAATGTGACTTAACGGGGTTGAATTTAATCTTGTGTCGAATGATAATCTTGGACGCACTATAACCAGAATTATTTTAGTTTATGTATCGAAAAGGGCGCCATAATGCCTCCCCCGACGCTTGAAAAATTATTTGTTTCCCCTGATCAAAGCATTCAAATCACGTCGACTCCAAAATGGACCTCTCGATTTCTAAATGATCACACATTTTCTGGTTATGGAAAAGACATCAGGATGCTCGATTTCTGCCATACTTCCCGATAAAAATGACAGCATTGCTTGTCCTGACAACCAACTTTGGTGCCGATATGTACACTGCCCAGCAGCGGGCCTAGTGGTCGCATCACCTTAGGCGGGTTAACATTTTGCCACGCTGCCTTTCACGATACAAGCTCTGGAGTTGTCCGAAAAGGCCACCGCTCAATGTAAAGAACAAAGGGCAGCTGGGCAGACCAACTATTCGCCTCCCCCCTCCCCTTTCTACGTCACTGGCGTGAGAGTTTGGTGCCATGGGACAATAATTCATGTTTATCTCCCCCCTCTCCCCAAAACTCTGAAACCCATCATTTCCATCCGAAACACAATAAAATCAGATTGGGTGCTACCGCTTGTCTGGCGCCCGGGGACATATCCCCTCTATGCCCACCTTAGCTACGCCTCTTTACACTGGCACTCCTCCCCCCACCCAGGAGGAAATTGTCTCAAAGAAACACTGCTTACAGGGGATTCTGTAGAATGCAGCCGATCGTTTTTGGCAATCTGTAAAACCAGCGAACTGAAGTCAATTATTTGTATACTTGTACAGCACAGTCGTGCCAGGGCGTACTCAGTATTTTAAAAAGAAATGTAAACCATTCGCCCCCGGCTCTTAATATGAAAAGAAATGTATTAATTAGTATTTCACTTGAAGTCACTTACCACTAATGCCATCTCTACAAACACTAGCATAAAAAATAATCCTCTCTTAGACTTAGACATATTGATGAAAAGATACGAACAACATAAATACAAAAAAAAAATATAAAAAAATAATAATAGTTAGGCTATTTCTGGAAGGATTCGTACTGTTCTGCATTACTATACTAGCCTTCAAAATGAACTGTTCAAGAATCGCGAGCTTAGTTAATTTTTATGTCAAAATCCCTCGTGTGTATTTCATACTGAAACTTTGCCGGCAACCTATGCACTGTTCATTTTAAACATTTTTAAGAGGATAATTATTAGATTTGATTGATGTATAATAAATAAATCATAATATGTGTTTTGGTTTAATATAAGTGTGTCATTATGTCTTCACGTGACTTAATTAATACATACACTATCCGATCTCTTAGCCAATGAGCAGTGTGTGGTTAGTAGGCTAACCCCGGTGAGAAGGTTGTGATCAGTAGACAACCCCCCCAAGTGGGCAGTTGTGGGGCTGTGGACGTGTTTTCTTTAAGCATGTCCAAATTTTGTTATCAAAAAAATATCTGTCGGCGAGAGTGGTGTACCCTGCGTGCGCCATTGGTATGAGGCGCCATATGTTAAAGTTCATTTCCGTTTTCCACGAATTCAGCTTTGCGCATCCTCTGTTCAGCTATGACAAATTGGTATCTTCAGATGTGTGTTTTTTTTTTAATATATTTTGTTTCTAAAAACAACTTGCAATTTTATGTATTTATTTATTTAGGCATTTTTTATATAGCGCTTACCTTAAAGCTCTAAGCGCTTTACAATTATTAAAAACATGTAAACTAAGTAAAATAAAAATGAGACACTAGGATAGTAACGACTATACTATAGAAACAATTAAAATGGCTATATAACGAGGACACTTTGGCACGTTTTGGCCTATACTACAGGATCAACCCGAGACAGAAAATGAGGCAGGGCGAGGAGGGTGCATCACAGGTCATAGGCGGACCTAAACAGATGGGTTTTAAGGGACTTTTTAAAAGTGGACGAGGTTTCACAATGACGGATATGGAAGGGGAGCTGGTTCCAGAACGTNAATCAAACCCATGGACAACACATGGAAGAAAATCTAGTTAAAATCTAGAACAATTTTTTTTAAAAAAGAAAGAAAAAAAGACATTTCTCACCAAATAATTAATTTTTGACTATTTGAAAAAACCAAAATAACCTGTCCTAAAATTGCTTTAGAATCAAACAAAAATTAGTAGAGATTTTTTTGCACCAGTGCTGTCAGCTAAGCCTAATGCTCACCAAAAACTTTCCATGTAAGTCTAGCCTAAGCGCTTTGTTTGAAAAATCGTTCGTAAATTAAACTTGTAAAGAAGGATTTGGTCTAGGTTAAGGCCCACCAAGTTAATGAATATTAACATTGGAGTACCAAACAGCTGCTTAGATATTGGCCAAATTGAATACCCGGATGTTTATATATATATATTTCCAGCCATTTAACGAAATTAGCCCAACTGATGTTCTATTAATAGATTTCCGCTATTAAATGACAAACCCTATTAAAAGAACGTCTCGCCATAGAATGTATTTCTAGTTAGTTCTATTCTTCAACCCTCAAGACTTGAGTGACTCACATCCCGTCTTTTCATCAAGCTTCATCTTTACATAACTGTCTGATGGGTGTCAAATAGACGGTAATAATATTGTTCCTGGCCGTTGGAACTGATGATAACTATACCCTGCTTATGTTAAGCACCAAGTTTTTTTCTTCTCACAAAGCAAACAAACATATTATTCAAATCATTAATGACACATTAAAACACATAAATTGCTCATAATAGATTGCAAGTATATGAAATGTTTAGCCCCACAACCACGTCGGCGAACCTTGTGTGATCTGTCTACATTTGGTCAGCTTCTAGATCAGCGGTCCTGAACCTGTGGGTCGCAACCCCGTTTGGGGTCGAACCCTTACAACACAGGGGGTTGACTGAGACCATCGGAAATCACACATTTTATGAAGTAGCAATGAAAATAATTTTATGGTTGGGGGGTCACCACAACATGAGAAACTGTAGTAAAGGGTCGCGGCATTAGGAAGGCTGACAACCACTGTTCTAGATGAAGTTACTTATATGCCCTTACTTGGCAAACACCTGGCACATATCCGGCAAAAACCTCGGATTCCAATGAAGTGAAGTTACAGGGTAACTTCAATGTGGGACGCGTCATGGATCACCTCATTACCAAAAAAAAAAAAAAAGAAAAAAAAAATATGGACAGATACACCAAAGGACTTCTTGCGGCTAACACCAAATGATTAATAAATTTTAAATCATTTACCTCCACCCCCACCCCCCTCTCTCTCCCCGAACCGGACAAGTCCTAGCTAAACACATCGTGCTATAATTTAAATTTGTTTCTCTCCTCGTCCATTATTTGACATGAGCTTAGCGAGCCGTGAAGTAGTTAAGGTATGGGCTACCGGGGGCGAATCGAGCCCCTCCCTCCCCTTTTTTTTTCTTACACGGGAAAACAAACCCCTCTACATTTAGCCGAGTAGCCACCCTTTAATATAAAATAAAGAAAAAAGTGCCACCTTGGGGGGACATCCCCTTCCACCAGCGGGTTCTGACGCCACTGGTAGTAAGTGTGCTTTAAGAAGCCCAGTATCCTGGACATTTCGACATTTTTACATGCAGCCTCATCACGGCAAGCATTTTGATCTAAATATGAGCAGTTCGACTCTGAATTATAAATAGATGAAATATATTTTATAATGTTACTTTAACGTAGACATGTACAATGATTACGTTTTTGGTTTATTATTTTTTTTTAATTTTTTTTTTTTGTTCAGTGAAGCAATATTATGGCAACTTATGTTGAGTCATTTTGTTCAGTACCCGTCCTTGAAATAGAAACACAATTCACAATTTTAAGAGATTGCAAAAAAATTTTTTTCAAAAAGCTAAGTTTTTCCAGTGCTAATGGTTTGCTCTACGTTTTCTTAAAACTGGTAGTTATTAAGTTTCCATTATTTTTAAGACATATATAACTAAAAGTTTAACTGTTATAGGTCGATTTTCTGCAGCATTAAACTTGCTCCACAAGTTTTCGAAATGTTGATGAATGTATAACTGTTTAAACCGCAACTCAAATTCTTTTCTTGGCTTCTTCTCCGACTAGAGTAAGTTTCCGACCCTATGGGATAATTTAATTGAAGTAAATTATTTTCCCCGTTTCGTTTGCTCGCTTTTCAGTAGTCTTTCCACCGGAACGTCCGATGTTTTTACATTACCTTTCTCCCACTCTCTCAAGTTTCCTATTAGCCTGTGTTATTTAATTTCTTTTTTCAACATTTGACGCCCTTTTTCAACAACTTACCCGCATCAGGGGCGTAGCGAGGGTGTTTGGCACCCGGGGACAAGATTCGCGCCCGGAGACAAGATCCATTTTAAGGCGCCCCTTTTCCTTTTTGTTTTCAACTCTCAAGCCCATTATTTTGATCAATAAAATAATATCAAAGAACATTTTGGCGCCCCTAACTAGCTGGCGCCCGGGAACATCTGTCCCCCCTGCCCCCCCCCTCGCTACGACTCTGGACCGCATTCTCCCCAACATTACTTATTATTTTCGAGAATTTGATCGCAATTTCCCCTATATTTTTCCCCCCTTTTTTTCAACAACTTGACCAGTCTCTCCTACATTATTTCCGTTTTTCAACAATGTGACCGCATTCTCCCTAACATTATTTATGATTTTCAAGAATTATTTAACCGCAATTTCCCCTCTATATTTTATCTCTCCCTTCTTTTCAACAATTTGACGGTAGTGTCCCCTACCTTATTTCCTTTTCAACAATTTGACGGTAGTGTCCCCTACCTTATTTCCTTTTCAACAATTTGACGGTAGTGTCCCCTACCTTATTTCCTTTTCAACAATTTGGCGGAAGCGTCCCCTACATTATTTCCTTTGAGAAGACTGTGCTGAGAAAATAATTTGAAAACAATAAGATATATACATTTCACGTCGTTTGTTATATTTGAAATTTCAAACATTTTTCCATGAAAGTAAATTATATTCCTCGCCAGCACTAATCCTAAGTTGGGACATGGGATTATCTGGATACGTCTTTGGTCGGGTGGTGAATGTCATCTCTTGAAGCCTGCAGAGATGAACACGTTGTTATTCAAACTAGATGGTTAAGTCGATTTAAATTCATTATTTTGCAAAGGCTCTATTTCGATTAATCTAGTCATCTATTTATAGACTGTCCTGTACTATACTACAAATCGCGACAAATCTGCATTTAAAACAACATGTTTGCATGACACCAACGTCGTGATGGAGATACGTGACGCGAATTTCACACGACGACTTAAAGTGCTCTAACCTTTGCCCTCATTTACAAATAAACACACAAAAAACGAGAGTCATAAACATTGGAGTTTTTGGGAGATTTTGTTTAAAAGAATTTTTTTGTTTGCTTATTTAATTTTAAATATTGTTTATTTATTTATTTTGTTGTTGTTGATCCAAACTTGTATACTATTTTTTTTTTTTAATCCTTTACATTAGCTCCGCTTTTGTTCGTGGCTGGCTAACAGAATCTTCGGACGGCTAATTGACCCACTTCCCGTCAATTATCAAGCTAAAACTTGGCACATAGACTCACTGCTGATGACAACACATTTTTTTTTCAAATAAATTTCAGCCCCCCCCCCCCCAACCAACGCCAAACCCCAACAATTAGTTTTTACCTGTTTTTCAAGAAAAAGTTGAAGGAAATATGATGACACGGATTTCAGGAAATAAAATTCACAATAACTGATCTAAATGAGATTATTTAAAAAGATATATTTGATATTGTCAAGAAGCGATTCTTCTGTATGGCCAAGTCTTTCACTTCATTCCGTTCGGCAGTACATTATACAGCAACAGTCACCAATGCAACAAACATCAACCGGTTTGTTGTAAACAGAAGTTTATTTAACACTACTCGATGAACAAGACTTGATGTATAATTTCAGAATTTGATAATACAATCACTCCAACCCAATATTAATCAATATACCAATCCAAACACTTCATCCAGTATATCCACCATCAATTCTCTCAGCACAACAACCGCCATCTCTCTTCTCTAACAACAGCTAAAACTAACGCGTCACTTCCCATTACACAATTACGTCACAACACTCTCACACAAACGATACGGCTGCACATAAAATCTCTAACTAACATCTTTTCCCTATCAAACATGACAACAACGCTCTACACATAACAACAGTGATTCTCATACCCTTGGGGTTGGATCATTAGAATATTAATAGAGTTCAGGGACGTGGAAAGGTGTGCGGTTGCGGGCCTTAAAAAGGTTTTTGGGGGGGGGGGGCACTAATTGGTATTCTTTTAAAGTGCGTTACTTGTAAGTATGTTTTGTCAAAGTCTCTCCCCCCCCCTCTCAATTATGAGGGATTTATGTTAAAACACGTTGTTTATAAGGGTTGTTTAATCTATTTTGAGGTAGTGTTTCTCGGGAGTGGGCAGAGTCAAGTCTACTTATGAAACACGCACAAAGCAACGCTGTCTGTTGATGACAGTTAAGATTCGCATTGAGCTTGAAATGTACATTTTTGTTGACAGAAACACGGTTGATATTTAAGATCCCATGACGCATGAATCTCTATTAGAGTAGTTGAAAGCCTCGAATACAGCAGCCATGCGAACACAGCTACGTGGACACAGCCATGTGGGGCGGAGATTATTGCGCCATTGATTTATTTATTTATTTTTTTTTTGGTGAGTTTTCAATGAGGAGGTCACAACATGTCACAAAGTGTGACCCCTTTATCCTTTGCGTGTGGACACTTACGTGTAGACACATGGTACATGAAACATAAGCACACATACGGACAACCACATATGCACATAACAACACAGTCATACACTTATTTATTTATAGAGACATCGAATTTTAGAAAACAATTTTTTAAACATAATAATTATCACAAATTCAAATATACCCCAAGAAATATCATGGTGAGAAGACCTATTTTATATAGCCTCATATATCAATGTGACAAACGTGAAAAAGATTCGTTGTTTTTTTGGTCACATGGTTGTGTTTCCATAAGAATTACTACAATTATATTTAAACAATATTCTTTAATAGGTTATTTTCTTTCAAATGTTTTTTTATATAAATATACACAATATATCATAACCTTTGATCAGCCATAACGTTTGATCAGCCATAACCTTTGATCAGACATAACCTTTGATCAGCCATAACCTTTGATCAGCCATAACCTTTGTGTAGGGTGGTGCAATAAGCCACATACTTTCTCATTGCTTCAAAAATTAAAAAAAAAGAGAAGCCATCTTGACGGTAAAAAGGCTCCTAACCTTTTTGACGTCGTGGAACCCTTTTTAGAATCAATATCTATGTGAGAGCCCCTGAAACGTATCGTATCTCTTACAAGCTAATAGCGTTTCTGAAACGGCCATGGACAACAATCCTCACTTTTTTTTAATAGTGCCTGCGTTGTGCGTTGCGTTCAAGTTGGGACCCACTGGTTTAAGCAATTTATTAACGTCAATTAAAAAAAAAAAACAAGGATGAAGAATTTTGATTATGCTAACCTGAAAATGCGCAACTCATCCAGTCTTTCCCACGGTTAAGAACTTACGGCCCTTAATAGAAATGCTCTAAATGATGGGTAATTAAGTCATTATTGTCACTAAGGGAGTCCAATGATGGGTAATTAAGTCATTATTGTCACTAAGGGAGTCCAATGATGGCTGATTAAGTCATTATTGTCACTAAGGGAGTCCAATGCTGGCTGATTTCAACGCTAGAGGAATGCTTTAGATATCTTGTGTTAAAATTGTAAAAAAAAAACTGTATTGGTTAAACTATTTATTTATTTATGTGCAGAAATTGAATGTGTACAAGGCAATTTTTAAAAATCCATTTATTTATATCAATAAAGAATCGTATCTCATCTTATCTTATCTTATCCTCTAACCCGAATTGTTTAGGACTCTTCAGATATGCTGTATTAGAGGGATAAAGCCTAATGGTCTTTAAGAGGCCGTAATGATATCGTTGGTCAATGTTACCTTTTACTCCTTATCGCACTGAACGGCTCCAGTCAGGCTAAATTCTGGTGACCCCCATATGCTTTCAAACACGGCAAAACTGCACTGAAATGTCTGTTGGAGAGAAATAAAGCGTTTAGTTTTCTTTCTTTATTCTTTTTTTTTTTTTTTTTTTTTTTTTTTTTTTTTTTTTTTTTTTAGTTTCTAACATTGACAAGATGAAATTGTATGAATAAGCCTAAAATGTGTGTTACTTTAAAGACCAAAAATTAAATAGTAAATATAAATTTAAAAAAATTTTTTTTTAACTTTAAAGAAAAAATATATTTAAAAAAAAAAAAATCAAAATTAAAGCTTGTCCTACAATGTTTGCCGTTGTCTTTAATCGAAACCATTGCTCTGAAAAGCCATTGCTCTGAAAAGCCATTGCTCTGAAAAGCCATTGCTCTGAAAAGCCATTGCTCTAAAAAGACATTGCTCTGAAAAGCCATTGCTCTGAAAAGCCATTGTTCTGAAAAACCATTGCTCTGAAAAACCATTGCTCTGAAAAGCCATTGTTCTGAAAAGCCATTGCTCTGAAAAGCCATTGTTCTGAAAAACCATTGCTCTGAAAAACCATTGCTCTGAAAAGCAGTGTTCCGTTCAGTCATCACGTGGAATCTTTCGGCTCCGCAGAGGCGTAGCTAGAGTGTTTGGCGCCCCTAGACTGTTTGGTGCCCGGGGACAAGATTTCATTTTAAAGAGAATCCCTTTCTTTTTTAACTACCAAAACCCATTATTTTCATCAATAAAATGATATCAAAGCACATTTATTTTGGCGCCCCTAACCAGTCTGGCGGCCAGGGACATCTGTCCTCCCCCCTTCCCCGCCCCCTCCCCCCAGCTAGCGACGCCTCTGCAGCTCCGTGAAAACAATAATTATACCTCAAAAGTGTCTGCTTATTCTTATTTTTTTAAACTCGATTCATCAAATTCTCTCGCAATGATCTAATCAGTTGACGTCACCGTGTTTACCTTGCAACCACTTTTAACTCTCACTGTGAACTTGTAGTTGTACCCAGCAACAGTCTGAAGAACAATGAGTCAAAAATGTTAATAGTTTGGAGGATTAAAACAGCAGTGGGTTTATGGCGGTGGCAGAACTGGGGAGGTGTGAAAGGGGATAACACCCCCGGGTGGCATTTTAGGGGAAAAAAGGGGGGGGGGCGCAAAATCGTTATTCTTATATCGACCAAATACAAATAAACTTTAGTGAAATTTGCTTTTTCTGGAGTAGAAAAATTATTTCTTTTCAATACTATTTGTACAATCATGATGACGATCGTAATAATGTTTTCCTCTTGCTATTTTAATATTGAAATTTCAACGTGACAGCTAAAACTGAGTGAGTAACAAAAAATTCTCCATAAAAATTTCAACAGCGTATACTGCGTTAGATTGCTTGATTTTAATGATTTTCAAATAAGTAAATAAAGCACCTTTCTGTGTGTGCGTCGAAAAACAAACAAGCAATTTTTAACTCTCATTAATTTCTAATTGGGATCACGTTAAGTTCAAATTGGCACCACCCTAATTTCTAATTAGGATCACGTTAAGTCCAAATTGGCACCACCCTAATTTCTAATTGGGATCACGTTAAGTTCAAATTGACACCACCCTAATTTCTAATAATTGGGATCAAGCTAATTTTTCGGAACATTGACGCTTTCTTCTGACTATAGGAAGGGGGGGGGGGTTGGCTCGAGTGACATTTAGCTAAGTTTCGCCACTGCAAAACAGGATGCGGCCACAAGTCAAAATGTCTAGGCGGGAGTCTTAGCGTTGGCCTAATCTTTGCAAAGATATCAAAATCAAAGCCCAATTTATTTTTAGTTTCTGAATTTACTCTTTTTTTCTTGGGGGGGGCGGGGGTAGTTGAGCTTTCTGTGGAATAAATGCAAGCGCAAATCGTCTTCATCTTCGACCACTTTCCAGGTACCAATTTTATACACGTAATATTAAATTAGCGTTAACCCCCAGTTGCCCGGGAGGGTAGGAGGTGGTGCACAGTTTTAAGGGCGCTTTAAAAAAACAAAACAAAAACAAAAAACATTAGGATGTTGCTAACAGTGTTAGGGGCAGGGGAAGTGACGCGTGTGTCGATACACGTCATTCACTTTTACGGTCGCGCACTAAAATATATTTTTTTTCTTTTTATAGCCTCGCTAAGGAAGTCTTAATGTTTAGATGCTTCGGATGAAACAGCACCCGAGTGTGAACATCATGTTGTCCCCAGAGACAACATTGTAGTTGCAGTGACGTGGCAAGGGTTAGTGCGACCCGGGGGCGTGCCGCCACCTCCCCCACACCTCCTACGCCACTGCTAGTGAAGCACTCAGTTGAATTGCTGTGCTGTAAGATGGCCACGTACCTGAGAGGAGGCTGATATGATATCAATGAGTTCAAATTCTCCATTGTGGCCCTGTTCAGCCAAATATCTTTGCCCAGCGTCCAAACCGAATTTCAGTGCACGGTTGTCAGCATCGGGGTTGATAGGATACCAGCCTCCTGGCAGGAATTGGGGCATTTCTGGTTCTTCTGGTTGTTCCTGTGGCTCCCATGTAAAAAAACTGGAAAAACGGATTTTAGAATTATATATATATATATATATGTGTGTGTGTGTGTGTGTGAGTGCGTGTGTGTGTGGCAGTGCATACCCCGTTATTTGGAAACCCGCTATTAGCCCAGTTATTTTGAGACACCCGCTATTAGTACGAAAACCATGTTTGGCGCCCAACGCGTGTGACCTCGCCTAGCACTGGATCGGAATGTTGACCTCAGGTATCCCTTTCACCCCAGTCCGGACGGCCTCTGTACGGCCGGCTGACCTCTCAGGTATCCCTTTCACCCCAAGTCCGGACGGCCTCTGTACGGCCGGCTGACCTCTCAGGTATCCCTTTCACCCCAGTCCGGACGGCCTCTGTACGGCCGGCTGACCTATCAGGTATCCCTTTCACCCCAGTCCGGACGGCCTCTGTACGACCGGCTGACCTCTCAGGTATCCCTTTCACCCCAGTCCGGACGGCCTCTGTACGACCGGCTTCTCTCGCGCATAGGGAGGAATTAATAAAATACCACGATGTGCGCTTTAGTTAGAAATTCAATAATTTATTTCTTGGGAACCCTAGCGTATTAAGTTATAAAATTATATCTAGTTAGAAAGGAGATTTTATTCACTATTCCGTAGCATATTTACAAGTCTCCGTCGTTGGAGGATATTTTAACATTTAGTCATTAAAGGGGTTGTCACCTTCATCCATAGTGGTCCCCACCCCTTCTAGTTAAAATATCTCAAAAACCATTTAACTCAGTGAAATATAAAATAGCATCTTAGAGAGCTGAGACAACACTGCACAGATCACATATAAGTAGTTAGGGCTTTGGTCAGGGATTTTAATTTTTACTCTGGTGTAGTCCCCAGAGTTAGGCATTTTACCCCAGGAAATTGGCCAGAATGCAAAACGTAGACCGACTTGGTTTCGGTGTGACGGAGCGGCTCTCTCATATGTCCGCGCACGGCTTTATAAAGGGGTGCACACTAAGTAGGGGGTCATTCGAGGTTGAACAGCATCCCTGCAGTGTGCCATTGTTCAGTGCGGCCCATTGGAACGCTCTGTAAGTAGAAGCAAATACGCCATTTTATTTCTGTGTTTAGTAGGAACTTGTTGAGTGTTAACATTGGAAGATTTCTGTGTAGACTTATGCTCAGGCTATTTTAAAGGTTAACCTACAACCGTTCAATAAATTCTCTAATAGGATTTATAAATTAGATACCAGTGACCAGGGTTCTGTATATCGTTCTAGGGACACATGTTGCAATGCGCTTATCATATAAGCTAGTGATACAACAGTATATAACCAGGGCATGTACGTCCAATCTGTGTATAGTCTAACGCTCCTGCCGTTTGCTAAATTCTCACATAGGAAATAGTGCATGTGTTAGGATCATATTCCATATAATTATTCATTCTGCAATCTGCTGTTTGTCTTAACAAAACACAGCGATTGATAGATACAAGTATCAAGCCAACGGTCGTCATGCTTAATACCATTGTATATACTCTCCTGCTATGTGTGCTTCTTACATAGACACCATACCATGGGCGCCCGCAGAAAACTTTCTTGGGGGGGGGGCAAAAAAAATCGATTAACTTTCCAGGAGGGGGGCAAAAATTTTTTATTAATGTTTTAATATAGTTTTAATTTAATGTAGCGTATTTGTATGGTGATCGAACGGACAGGACATCAGCTTATTTACTGTCTCTTTATTTTCTCTTTACTTTAATACATTTTTTGTCTATTTTTTTCTAATTTTTTTTATCCAATCAATCCAGGGCCGGGGGGGGGCAAAAGTGCCCCACCTTGCCCCTACCTGCGGGCGCCCATGCACCATACCTGGATGGCATACCATAATAACTTCAAGATCTTTATGTTAGCCCTCAGATCTCACTCTGGTGCTGTGTGTAGCATTAACAATGTGCTCGTGTTTCAAATTAAACACTGCACGTTGTTTATTTTATAGTTAAACATTGGTAGGACAAGATAATTATCTTCGCCATTCGTATAAAACAATACTACGTTCGTATCATTTATCATGCATTCTTAGTTAAGTATATTTTGTCCCCACGTGTAATTTCGTGATTATATAACATGTTTATTGTTAGCTATGTTAGTCAGGACATTGTTGACCTGTACTTTTTTATTTCGTCATTGTGAATTTTTCCTGTAGAGCAGTAATAAAGCTATAATCCTCGAGACCTGCATTTTCTTCATTTTTTTCATTAGTAACTGTCAGTGTTAGTCTTGGTACACCCAATCACCCATCACCAACCATTACACAAGTTCACCACGACGCACTACTACATATTTATATAAATAATAATTTTAAAAATATATACGGTATATATATATATATATATATATATATATATATATATATATATATATATATATATATATATATATATATATGTAATCTTATATATATAAAATAATTAAAAATATATATATTATATATATATATATATATATATATATATATATATATATATATATATACATATATATATATATATATGTAATCCTTCCGTGTTCGGGAGACGATGGAGTAACTATGGAAACTTCATCAAATGGCTTACTTGGCCGATTCTGGAATGACAGTCTCGGCTGCACCTCTCGTAGGAAAACATTGACTCCTGGTTAAATTTGGCATTCCATAATTTCTTGCAAGAGCTTCGTTTCGCGCATCTTCAACCTTTTTTTTTACTACTTCACACACTGCTGTTCACCAGCTGGAACGGTGCTCAGCGATCACCTCCCATTCACCCATAAATATATTTTTTTTAAATAAAAAAATGTAATTGATTCTTATAATTTTTTTTTTTCAAATTTGCCTGACAGTATCCAAGTTTGAGAGCTATGTGATATGACGGCTTAGAGAAAACTGTATATTTTCGGGGAGAAAGGAGCAATTAGATCTAAGTCTGTTCTGCTTTCATTTGCTTGGCCACGGTCACTGTTTAGCTGCGAATCATTGGAAAAGTCATTTGTAAACATTGATGGCGATGCCATGAATTGAAAGAAAATAAACTTTTCAGATCGAAAGTATACTTTTTTTTTTTTAAAAAGTAAACTATTTGCGTCTGTTTAAAATTAGCCCTTACTCAACTTGCTGGAAGTGAGTTTTAAGAAGCATAAAACGGGAGTTCGGAACTAATCCGAAGTGGAAAACGTGGGAGGGGAAGCTACTCTGTTTAAAAAAAAAAAAAAAAAAAAATGGAGGGATATAATGGTTTTTTTTTGAAAACGTGGGAAGGGAAGCTACCCTTTTTAAAAAAAAAAAAAAAATCGACGTACATAATGGTTTTCTTTTGACTAGAATTAATGTGTACATTTAAAAAAAATATGTTACGGAATACATTTAGGAACTTTGAATAGATTAATTAATCGTTATGTGAAGTTTTGATGTGGGAGGTGAAGCTTCTATCGAGTTTATAAAACCCTCTTCAATGTTCTAGCCCAGTGTTTCCCAGAGTGTGGTACACGTTCCTCTGGGGTGCGGGAAGAGTTTTGTGGGGGTACGCACTGCAAAGGAAAAAAATACATATCTTTATATTGTTATTAAAGTGTATGCATTTTTTTTATTTGTAACGAGGGGTGACTCAGTGTTACGAAAATTATAGACAGCGGTTCTAGAGACCGACCGAATTTCAGCTTCGGTTTCGTCGCCAAAAGTGGCCATTTGATCAATTTCGGCCTAATTTTAGTTTCGGCCGAAAACAAAAAGTTAAATTTCGGTTTAATTTCGATTTCGGCCGAAAGTGATTGGGACTTTCGGCCATCTTGCCGAAAGTGACTGGGGTTTTCGGTCATCTACCAGAGGTCAGGCTGTCTGTCTCTAGGCTGGCAATCCGATATTCATTATTGCTGTACGCCTAGCTGTCATCGTATGCTATATGACTAATACTCTTCGAAAACTGCTCACAGATGCATGACGACCTACTTGTCCTTTCTTTCCAAAAAGATAAATTTTAATTAGGCCTAGGCAAATGTAAACAGTTTTGTGGAAGAAAACTAGGAGAATAGTAATATTTCATGTCATTATTTAAAAAAAAAAAAATTAAATAAAATTTGGAACCCTAGGTTTATTCAGTTCCTTCATTTGTGATATTCAATTTGACTTATGATTATCATGCTCATCAATTTTGTCATAGGCAAATGTGAATAATGGTAACATTTCTCCTATTATTTTTGTTTTATTTATTTTTTTTGAATTAAGGAATCCTAGGCTTTTTCAATTCATTTATTTCTTGAAATTCATCATTACCATGCTCATAAACATTGTTACTGACGAAATAACAAGTGCGTGCATGCATCACTGGCTTGTATTAAAACTATGTAGTAGGCCTACTGCAGACCTGTTTACTTTAATGTTTATGCTTTAGGCGACCAATTTAGAGGTCTTGCGATTCTCCGTCGAGACCCGTCAGAAGAAATATTTTCAGAGACCCGGTTAAAAAAAATAATAATTTCCCTCACCAAAGAAGGTGAGGGAAGTTGGTCACCGAACAAAATAATTACGTCACCAGCACAGTAAGACTAATGTGTTTGTACTAGGCTAGATATTAATACAGGGATATCTTGAGAGCTATTTATGAAAACACAAAGCATTAGTATGACGAAAACCACAAAACATTATGGTGATATTTCCATTGCCTTAATAACTGATATTTGGGTGACAATTGGCTTTATTAGAGCCACAATAATTACTATAGGTATATGTTCTAGATTGTAGTCATATTATAAAAGAAAAGGGGACTCAAGGGTCTATTTTGCATGAATTTTTCCCTACCCCCCCCCCCCAAATCCGGTCCAAATTTTCTCTTCTTATACTACTTTTTTCCAAATTTTCTCTTCTTATACTACTTTTTAAAAAAAAGATTTTTAAGAAATGTATATTACTTTTAAATTAAAATAGTAAAAGCCAAGGTATCCGTTAAATGTTTATTTATTAATATTCACGATGATCTCATTTTTTTTTAAAATAATGTAAATGTTGATACTTTCTCCCATCATTTTTTGTGTATGTAGAATGTATGCGTGGAAGAATTTCAAAATACCTAAATATTTCGGCTTTGGTTTCGGACGAAAAAAAAAGAGTTAAATTTCGGTTTAATTTCGGCTTCGGTCGAAATCAGAAAATCACTTTCGTTCGGTCTCTAAGCGGTACACACATGTTGAAAGTTTGGGAAACCCTGGTGTAACCTATTGATTTCAAGCGGCGAGCTAACCCTGTGTTATATATTAATATTAATGACAAGACTTCAAAATGTAAACAAAAAACAATCTAAACTTGGCGATATACAGTGACAAAATTAATTTATGATCCAAATTTATGCTTCAGCTACTATCTGGAGCACACCAACGACAACAAACAAAGCAACAACAAAACAGTTAATTTTAAAACAAATCTTATGAACGGAATAAAAATGTGTAGACATATGAAACGATACGGAATCAAGATGTACTACATTACCAGGGTAATCCTTTCAAAGTCTGCCCTTTTCCCGGCTGTGGCTAGACAGAGAAGATGAAATGTATCCATCTAAGAAGGTTTGGTAACATGGCGGAGAGAAATATTGAACTTTGATCTGAACCAAGCGGCCGAGAAGTCTACACATTGCTTTTACTATTATTTTCTAAATAGAATTATTTTTAAAAATCCTTTACATTAAATTATATTAACTTCGCTTTTGTTCGTGGCTGGCTTGCAAAATACTCTGACGGCCAATTGGCCCACTTCCCGTCAACCTTTCGAGCTGAAACTTGGCACATTCTCACAAAATTTCAGTCCCATCTCCCCAGCAATCAGTGTTTCCTGATCTTTCAGTGGGAAGATAAAATGAAATTCCCCATAACTGAGATTCTTTCTTTAAAAAATATCAAATGTTCGTTTGGTGCGTAATATTTTCTTTTCCGTTTTTTTTTTTTTTTTTGACATTGTCAGTGAAATAAATCCACGGTGTAAAAGCGGGTGGGTCATTAGAATATTAATAGAGTTCAGGGGCGTGGAGAAATGTGCGGTTGTGAGCCTTGAAATGGGGGAGGAGGAACTATTGGGATTCTTATAACGTGCGTTACTCGTATGTATGTCTTGTCAAATTTCCCCCCCCCCCCCCCCCAAAAAAAAAAAAAAAAAATTGCTCGAAGTTACACTTTATAAAGTATTTATACGAAAAACGTTGTTTTATAAGTGTTTGTTTCATTTGTAATGATTTCCTGAGAGTTTTCAGTACGTTATTCTTTAATGGACTATAAACAACTATTAACAACGCTATGAAATATGGTTAGTCTAAGCAATTTTAATTTTATATTGATCTTCAATTATAGATTGATACGATATGCGACAGTCAAATGAGAATGTGATGATATGGTTTTGTAAATGCGCTTATGAAACGTAGCAATGGCGAGTGGCTTTGTAGGTGCACAGACGTTGCGTGGCTATGAAACGTAGCTGAGTATATAATATTAGAAAGATGACTAACTCAAACACGGGTGTCTCCGTTTCATAAAATTCCGCTGGTGTCGTCGAGGCGTCATCCTGAGCCAGGGTCAAGGCCACGAGCAGGGGAAGTAACAACATGTACTGCATCTGTGGACGAATTTTTTTTTTAAATTGCGTTTTCTTGTGTATCAATCATTTTTTTTTTTTAAATATCACATTGTAAATTTTTAAACACAGTCAGGATATTATTCTAACCGTAAACCCAACACTTAGTCTGCATTTAATTCTTATGCCATTTAAATATTGCTTTTGTAAAACAAGGTTGGCACAGAATTATGTTTTCTAATAATTTTTATAATGGCATCTGTCTGCATCATGGGCTCGTATTTTTGCAATTTGAGTTAGTTCCACTGGTTTAAACTCTGTGGTGTGTGGGTCGGGTGATTTTGGCAACCAGATCGATGTCCTGTTTACCGTTTTAGTTTTAGGTAGTTCGTACAGCCCCCGGGCGGTGGAGGTGGCAACGCAACGTCATCTCCGGGGAGGAAGTAAAGCTGTCCCTCACACACTTTGCTCTAGGCCGAGTTGCATGGCCGGAGTCCCCAGGGACTACTGGGCCATGTTTCACGGCCAAAGGTCCTAAGAGAGTGAAATCTCGACCTTTTGAGGATTGATCTTTAGAAGTTTTAGGTGGTTAAAAGCGAAACACCGTAAGAAAGCGACATTATTTTATGCAGTCAGTACTTAAATAAGATGAGTAAGAAGATGATGCACAGAACCAGATTATTTCTTATCAAAGGAAAGCAAGCGCTGAAAGGGTTCAAGTGATGTCAAGTTGGGATTTCCACATTCGGCGGCTGCCCGAGCTAGAGAACCCTGATCAATCGGTTCAATAAACTCAACAAAAGAAATTAGGCAATCGGCTGTGCCCGACCGGCTGAGAGCCCCGTCACTGCTATAACAGGTGTGTGGAGATACATTATTGTGTTCCCAAGTTTCACAGTTGTGTCGAAGTTGTTGTTGTTGTTGTTGGTGGGTTTTTTTTGTTGGTTTTTTGGGGTTTTTTTTTTGGGGGGGGGGGGGTTTTTTATTTAAAATCTAATGAAATAAAAGTAGTACTGGGCGTTTTAAAAAAAATAAATTATTCGGCAACTAAATAATCCATTTAAGTTACTGCATTCTCGAAGATAAGAAACAAAGGGGTGCATGCAGTACAAATATGTTTACTCCTAGACCAAATTAGACCAATCTAAACGTCTCATATCCGATAATTATTCCAAAATTCCTAAAACAAATCTGTATTGTTTATAAATTGGACTTGTCATTTAAAACTTTTTTTTTTATAGCCTACGTTTGAGATCCATGTGTTTGATAATATTTACCCACAATCCAACTACTATCTGCAAGGATTGTCCCGTTAATTGGTAGTGAGGGGGAGAGACCGCAATCGGATTTTTTTAAAAAAAAAAAAAAAAAGAAAAAAACAAAATTTTAAAACTTTTTTTTTTATAGCCTACGTTTGAGATCCATGTGTTTGATAATATTTACCCACAAACCAACTACTATCTGCAAGGATTGTCCCGTTAATTGGTAGTGAGGGGGAGAGACCGCAATCGGATTTTTTTAAAAAAAAAAAAAAAAGGAAATGAGCTAAATTAAGTATGGGAATACCTGAAAAAAGGACGCAGCCCAACAACGAACGTGTCGGCAAGAAGCCTTCAACAGCGAGCAAACAACAGTAAAACAGAATTAAATAAAATTAAATGAAAATAAACTTAGTATTGCTATCACAAAATTATTTTTTCTAATAATTATTATCAGAGCCTCTGTCTGCATCACGAGCTCATGTTTTGCCATTTCAATTTGTTCAACTGGTTTCAACTCTGTGGTTATGATATATATATATATGTATGTATGTGTGTGTGTGTATATTTATATATATATATATATTGTTTCTGCGTATTTTGTACATAATTTGAAGTATAAAAATGAACTTAAAAAAAAAAATTTTTTAAAGTTTCCCAATAAAATTATTTATCCCAAACTGATTTTTTTCAAAATAGTCGTATACCTTTATTTGATTCTGTTGTACCAAAAATGTATGATTCTAAGAATTGGTTATAATTATTTTTATTATTTTTGAAGTTGTCTTATATCGTGCAGCACCCCTAGGGCTAGACTCACCGCGATTAGCATAAAAATTGGCAGATACATAAAATCATACATTTATAACCACCAATTTTTATTAAAATCCTTGCGTAAATCAGTAATGACCTATATGTAAAATAGTTGAATTTTTAGCTCTTTGGGTTTGTTTGGTGGCGAAAAAGGGGTGGGGTGGTGGTCATGTGTTGCGCCTGTCATATGACTATGCATTTAAAGCGTCTACAGCTATAATGGATAATTCAAATTATGGTGACATTGAAACAAATAATCTTAGCGGAGTGGTAAGTAGTCGCTAAAAGAAATAGTTCAGGTTAAAATGTCTTGACGTTGCCTGCATGTTAAATAAATCTGGACACTCACCTTTCTCGGGAAAAGACTCACGAAGCGTGATTGAGGTCACGGTCTCCAGCTTTTATACCCCAACAATGTCTTACGACCCAAGCTGTCACCTTATGACGTCAGAAAATTCCTTAATTTTTTTTTTCAACTGCACTCGAAATATTTAAAACCAAAACATGTAGCGTGATGACAAATGATGTCAAATGATGTCAGTGCTTGCACGTAACGACGAGCATCACACCAAACATCGCGATGAGCATCTCACCAAACATCGCGATGAGCATCTCACCAAACATCGCGATGAGCATCTCACCAAACATCGCGATGAGCATCACACCAAACATCTTGATGAGCATCACAACAAACATCGCGATGAGCATCTCACCAAACATCTTGATGAGCATCTCACCAAACATCGCGATGAGCATCTCACCAAACATCGCGATGAGCATCACACCAAACATCGCGATGAGCATCACACCAAACATCTTGATGAGCATCACACCAAACATCGCGATGAGCATCACACCAAACATCGCGATGAGCATCACACCAAACATCGCGATGAGCATCACACCAAACATCGCGATGAGCATCACACCAAACATCGCGATGAGCATCACACCAAACATCTTGATGAGCATCACAACAAACATCGCGATGAGCATCTCACCAAACATCTTGATGAGCATCTCACCAAACATCTTGATGAGCATCTCACCAAACATCGCGATGAGCATCACCCCAAACATCGCGATGAGCATCACACCAAACATCTTGATGAGCATCACACCAAACATCGCGACGAGCATCACACCAAACATTGCGATGAGCATCACACCAAACATCGCGATGAGCATCTCACCAAACATCACGATGGGCATCACACCAAACATTGCGATGAGCATCACACCAAACATTGCGATGAGCATCACACCAAACATTGCGATGAGCATCTCACCAAACATCACGATGAGCATCTCATTAAACATCTTGATGAGCATCACACCAAACATCGCGATGAATCCAAATGTGCGGGGAACTTCAAATAAAGGTGTGGGAGGGGGGGGAAGGTTTGCTAGCCCATGTGTGTTGTTTTATTAAGTGCTTATTCTAATGTATGTCATCTCAGCTAATCCAGGTTAGAACCACTCACCTAAATGCTGAAACCAGATGTTTCACTATTACTTTCGTCCAGTCAAAGAAAAAAAATAGAAAAAAAAAAAAAAAAAAAAAAAAAAAAAAAAAAAAAAAAAAAAAAACAAAAAAAAAAAAAAAAAAAAA